TCATTTGGCGCCTATTTTCAGCTCGTCTGCGCCCTCTCACTAATTAGCTCCCGATCAGGACTAAGCCTTTGGGGAGAAGAGTGCTCCGAAGTGAGTGAATCACCCATCCTGTGATCTTATACGCTTCAACTTTTGCCACACGTTGCCTGGTTCACCCACCCAGGAGTCCTCCCTCCTCCTAAGCTTAGTCCTGAGGTAATATGTACAAGTGAGAGGGCCCAGGAAAACGGAAAATATGCGTTGAATAGTGCAAATGCCAAAAACGAATGTCATATTCGTAATCAGGACCCCAAATAACCCCTATATACAAGTTTACAGCGAATTTGGTGAAAACAGCCCTGGCGCCAAACTGGCGCCAATGGCGCCAATGGCGCCAAAAAATGAATGTCATTTTCGTGATCAGGGCATCGAATTACCCCTATAGGCGAAGTTTCGACGAAAAATAAAATTTTGAGATTTTGGGGTGTAATAGTTGAATAGTGCCCTATCTAATCTTGTTAGCGCACTATCCTACTCTCCTACTATCCTAATTTCCCCGTCAATACATATCTTTTTCATTGTCGCACACTATCCCACTCTCCAGAGTCACGAACTATGAACGCGGCCTAACTCCTAGCAGGAATCGCGCCACAACATTCTTTCGGAGGTCTTCACTTCCAAGCCTCTTTTGAAAGGCAATTTTAGTTATATGGTGGTGGCAAACAAGGGCAGAAGTGATGTGGTCGCAAGTGTTCTGGTTAGAATGGGCACGATACGGAGACCAAATTCTGGTTCGCGGCACCGTCCAGGCTGACAAACCATTCGACCCATTCATTCATCCGCGGTCCACGGACAACTTGAACCCGGTCCTTTAAACCGCGTCGACTCGATGCTCTCGCCTGCGCTCTCTCGCTTAAACAGCGGCTTATGATTATTGTGATCTGACACATCCAAACTTTGCCACATGTAATTGGCTCACCCACTCCGGAGTCCCTTCTCCCTCCAAGGCTTAGTCCTAGGGTTGTCACCTTCCTTCTTGGGATTTGGAGCCGAGCCAGGCGCCGTTCTCTAATCGTCTGCGCTCTGGCCTTTCGCGGCAGAGAACACAGGGGAGAGTTCAAGTAGTCATGTAATCTTCATCCACTGCAAGTCGTGTATAGGCCAATTCGCATTCATGACGCAAATCGACCTATACAAGGATTCAGAATGGAAGTAGAATTTGCGGCGCATCCAAGAAAGGTTGATCAGCACCGACTGCTTTTCCATTTAATTTTTTGCACCCAAGGGTGCGCCGAAAAAATGAAAAAAAAATGCAGGAGTAAAGAAGAATAGAGCTGAAATAGAGAATAAGGTGATATTTTGATGCAATATTAGTCGAGTGGGCACGCCAATTTTTGAATACGGTAGGAATGTACGTGGGTACTGGCGCACACTGTTATGATGACACGAGAATCGAAGCACTTTCGCGCCCTTTGGTGCGAAGCAAGGAATTCGTCATTCAGGGAGGGAGGGGACTGGGCAGCCAGTTCAGGAGAGATGGGGTAAGAAAACTGAAATGTGCGAGTTATGCTCACAGCGTCTCGTTAGGTCCATTTCGCGCTACCGTATCCCAAGCATCGGATGCCCACCCAACAAGCATTGCAGCGGTGTCTAATTTTAGTAATAAAATTCGAGGGTTCAACGGGAACAATGAAATGAATCAAAAATTATCAAATAAGCCGAAAATGCTGGTAAAGGACCCACTTGCCCAAATTGCTTTTATGATGGTACTGAACCGTATTTTGCTGCAGCCGGAGGAGAAAACATTACACTGAACTCCGTCATGAAAATGCGTTTGACTCACCTAGAAAAAAATGCGCTTCGTTGTTTTTGGAAATATTTTATTATGCTGCAACGAACATTATCCCTATTCAATGAACAAAGAAGTGTCGTAATCGTGCGCACAAAATCTCGGCACGGACACGTACAATCACTGACGACAACCTCGCAACAGTTCTAAGTTGTCTAGAAAATAATTAAAGGTCGTCGATGAACGAATAGGAAGAAAAGATGGGCCGAGTTGACGGGGAAGACGAAAAAAATCGTCGACGGGGGGCCGATCTAGAATGACACTTCAGCATGAAAATATAAAACGATCTACCATAGGTCTGCATGCTGAACGCTGGATAAGCCAACGTTTCATTTTCACCGACATATTTAACTAAAAACAGTAGAAGAAATCAGACCGAGTAAAAAAAACAAAGTGAATAAAAACTAAATGATCATCAGATAGTAACGAAGTTGTCAAAACCAACAACTACATCTCACCTGGTAAATACATTTTAAAGCATATGTATGAGGGGGCTCGACGAAGAAAAAAAAAGAACCAACAATGGAAATCGATGAGAGCACAGAGAAACATAGAAACAATAAATTTTTTAATAAAAATTCAAGGAATTTACGAAAGAAAAAACACGGAAAATACATAGAAACGGCAATTTATCAGCGGAACAAGTAGAGAACGCACGAATGAAAGGGGAAAATAACGGGAGGAGGCATATAACAGACTAGCGCCGAAATTGGAGATCAATTCGTGGCAAATCAAAATTATTCGATTCGATGACTCGTTCCACAACGGGCGAGTCGCTTTCGCCACGTACACAAAAATATTGACTTCAATAAGGAAAAAAAAACAATGACAACGAAAATAAACCGGCGTTGGAGTGTGCAGATCACACGAAATGCTCGTCTCAGTGGATTTTATAGTCGCGGATAAAAATGTATCACTTCGAAAATGAAAAGCGGAAACAGGCGAGACGATAATGGCCGTTTCCTAAGTCGGCATTCTATTTCCGCACAAATACATCAGGAACGCGTATGCGCCATGCACATGTGGTTGATGATCGTGGCAAAACGCGTTACGGCCGGTTACACGGCTGCCGTCGCGCCTAAGAATACATGTGTAAGGAACGCTATAAAAAGGGACAGAGATACGATCAGATTCATCGTAGAGGATTAGTCGTTTGTACCATTCAGCTCGTTCTCTCCTTGACCATTCACTTCGACTGGCTCTTCTTTCTCGGTTTTCAAACGGATCTCCTCCCCCGATGCACCCGTAGCGCCAGGCAGGTTTGCCGACAGGGATACAGGTACCTAAAGCAGCGCAGATTTGAAGAACTGTTTCCTGTTAAGGAGCATGAAAAAAGGAAAGTGTATTACCTCAGCATTAGACGGAGACGGCGGTGTGATCCCTCCATTCTGTGGACTCGCCAGCTTTCCAGAAGTTGCATTAGGGCTTGGAGTAGCGTTCAGAGCCGGAGATCCTACATTTACAACGGGTGCTTGGGAGGTCTGAGCAGCTAGCGTTGAAAGTGCTGCGGCAGGATTTGCGAACTGAGCCAATGCAGCCGAATTTGGCGTCATCAGCAACGGGTTCAGATTCATACCGCCCATAGCCAGCAACGGATTTCCGTATGGGAATGCACCCATCTGACCCATTTGTGGCAAACCATTGAAGCCTGAAAAGAAAAGACAAATAAGCAACAAAAAGTGCTTCTAGAGCTGAATCATTTTTTGTTGGAAATCGGTAAAAGCAACACATGAAGGACTAGAAGGACTACGCGATAATGATATTTTAGGGTTCCTTGGAAAAGGACATCGGCGGCGCGGACGCATTCGCGTGTTGGTGACGTCACAACGGCGGCAAGACAGCGAGCAAGGCCAGCTTTTCCACCATTACTTCAATACGTTAAGTACTCCGAGCATCTATCGTGCTCTTACTTCACTGTGTGATAAGTAGAAGTAAGTTGGAATCGAACACGAAAACACTCAGCTCAAATTACTGACAAAGTACTCCTAAGGGTTTCCACATGAAAGCCTCGATTCCTCTACATTTTCAGAAATTTCAAGTTTTAAGGCAAGGATGGTACTGAACCTAGCCACTGCCGCTGGCCACTGCTCGCCCTTCCTTCGAACCTGCCGCAGCTGCGACGTCATTTTGACGTCACCGGCACGCGCTCGCGTCCGCGCCGCCGGTGAACTTTTCTCTCCCCCCATATTTTATGACATAGGCTGGCAGCAGGAGCGTAGAATTTCATGATCAATTCTTGAATTACTATACCCAGTGTGAACGTACTCGTATTTCCGTAGCAGAGAGATATCATGAATTGAGATGACCAAGCAGAGTATAAAGTTCTGGACTACCAGAGAAAGATCGTCCTAAGACCAAAATCTCACAAATAAGGGGGAAATGTCGATGCAAAAAATGCTCGTATTCTAATTCGGTCCCAAATTTCATTCTGAAATGGGCATTGGCTAAATAGGTGGACGCGCATTCCCATCAAATTTACCAGAAGTTGCATGTTGTACTTTTGACTTGCTACCCAGTTACCGGAGCGTGAGGAACGGAAAGAATTAGCCTGGGATTAAATTCCATTAAAGTGAGGTTAATACTGGAACAATGAAAATCTTAAGATGTAGGTAAGATAGAGTATAGGGTCTACTTGTTGCCTTATCCTTATCCGTAGAAAGCACTACTTTGGGCTCGCTAACACTAGATAGAGGATAATATGAGAGCAACACATTTGAAGGACTTTTGATAAGGACCAGTGTGTCTGTGTGCACCTGTTCATCCACCAGGGGGCTTCTATACCTTTAGGCGTGGGCAAAGACGTCCATTTTTCTAGTTTAGGACCGTACCTTGACCATTGCAGGCCGAAATGCCAAAGTACCTTAGAAGTACTTCCACACTACACCATTCCACAAGAGGTGCATTTCAAATAAGTCGACTACGTCATAACGTCCTTATATTTATCTTTAGTAGTGGAGCGCACAATGGAGCACACCCCCCCCCCCGACTCCAGCTTCATCGATGAGTATGCGACTGTGGAAACAATAACACTACGAGCATGGACAGCTTTCAGGTGTTATAGCGCAGTTGCCCCCTTACCAGAAAGCGGGAGAAGCTGGAAGGAAAGCCGACAATACCTCCGAGTCCACTTTCCCGTGATATCCAAGCAGAAACAAAGCCTTATGGGATTTCAAGCCAAAAACCATCGAATTACTCATTTTTACTTTTGGGATTTTTTCAAAATATCACCAGTTTCTAATGCCGCAGTAAGCACCTATGAAGTAGTTTTAGACAAGCGCTAATATTAGGTTGGAAAGAAAGTCTTGCGAAACTTTAAACAACCCTTTTTATGGATAGGTCAAAATACTTTCCAAATGTTTTGGCGCCTGAACATTGTAGTGTTTCGTGAGGATTTCGTAATCGGGTGAAAAGGGGACCTCGCGCGACGTTTTGATCCAGTTAACCTCATAAATGGATCCAGCCATTCTTCGACATATTGTCTATTACGAGTTCGTGCAGGGCCACTCTGCTAGAGCCGCTGCGGCTAACACTCTACTGCATTCAAGAAGGATGTCATTCACCATTCCACAGTGTCTCGCTGGTATGGGCGATTCGCAGCTGGAGATATTTCGTTCGAAGATAAGCAGCGTCCTGGTCGGCCATCGGGATGGGATGAGGAGCTCTTACTCAACGCTTTGAAGTCGCAGCCGAATGCAACAAGCCGTGAGTTGGCAACAACGTTGGGGTGCACCCATACAACGGTTCTCAAGAATCTTCATGATATCGGTTATCGTGATATTTTCTCGCGATGGGTACCACATGAACTGAGCCAGTCCGACAAGAGCAACCGAATCATGGTCGCTGAGTCTCTCCTGCTTCGTCCGCATCGGAAGGACTTTTTGGAAGATATAGTGACTGGAGACGAGAGCTGGGTGCTTTATGTGAACCATACACGTAAGCGTCACTGGACTGCCCCAGGAGAAAAGCCGTCTGTAGAGCCAAAAGCAGGTCTTCACGAAAAGAAGGTTTTACTGTGTTGTTGGTGGGATTGCAGAGGGATGCTCTTTTGGGAGCTACTCAATACTGGCACCATGGTGACGGCCACATGTACTCTAATCAACTCCAGAAGCTGGCCGACGTCATGCGAGAAACACGACCAAAAAGGCAAAATGTATTTCTACTTCATGATAACGCCCGCCCTCATGTGGCAACGAAGACGCGTCAAAAGATTACGGAGCTCGGTTGGGAAGTACTGCCGCATCCAGCTTATTCACCAGACCTAGCACCTTCTGACTATTATCTATTCAGAGCATTGAAGCATCATCTGAAGGACAAAAAATTTGATGATCGACGTCAACTCGAAAACGAGATCGGCCACTTCTTCTCATCACAGCCATTGGAATTCTGGAAGAGAGGGAGAAGCTGCCCGAAAGATGGGGACGTGTCCTTGATAATAACGGTGATTATATTGTTGATTAATGTTTGCTCCCAATAAAGGAATGTGTAATACAAAAAATTGTTCAAAGTGTCGCAAGACTTTCTTTCCAACCTAATATCATACATGTGACCTGAGACAATTATACCCACCAAAGTTTTGCATTCCCACAAGTGGATTGTAACTGCTGGGACCGGGTTGATTGGCAGCAGCAGCAGCCGCAGCTGCCAACGCCCTTCGAGCACCACCACCATTGGCGAGTAGCTGGTCCTTGTTCACACAGTTGAGCAAATCGTTTGGAAACCGATTCAGAATTGCACGTCGGACCTAAAAGAAAAGGTGAGTTTTAAAGCCGTTGAAAAACTGAAGCGTAATAATTCTGAGGACAACAACCTAAGATCCGTATTGGTAACGTACACTTCTCATCATAATTCAGAATAAAATACAAAAGCGTGGCTTATCTTCAAAGCGAATGATCCACGTCGAGGTCAGCTAAGCAAGAGCACAACGCTTGTATGTCATAGTTGGCTTCGCTATACAACTAGTCACTTGTTCATCTCATCTATTTCGGCTCAAATACGTGATATGTCTTGGCCCTTTCCTCATTCCGTTCTCAGACTTCCGCTACAACTTCCCATCTTTTAAACTCCCCAACAGCATACAAGCTGCCTTTTTCGCGATGATAACGTTTCGAATTCAAATCCATAGGGCTTTTAGATTCACGGGTTACCTGAAATTTCTTGTATGGTCCGGCCACGATGACGGAGAGCACAGGCGACTAGAGAACGGCGCCTGGCTCGGTGCCCAATCCTTTGGAGGAAGGTGGAAGTCCTAGGACTCAGCCTGGGAGGGGGAGGGACTCTGGGGCAGGGTCGGTCCTATCGTTGCGACTTTTTCAGAGTTCTTACGACCCCGCTCCTTCACGACAGAGGAAGGGGGTATACACGCCGCTGAAACGGCAAATTTTCTCCCGCGCGCCTCACCTCATCACATGTAACTTTCGTACTACCGAAACAAGTACGACCCCCCCCTCACAACTTCAACAAACTACGACCCCCCGTTGGTACTTGTACCAACGTACCCTGCACTGGGGTAGGGAGCCAATTGGACTGTGGAGAAGGTTTGAATGCGTGAGAACACAGAGTCATGAGTCGCCATTTGGACGAGGGAGCGCAGGTGGGGGGGGGGGGGCGCCAAATTGATGCTGTTTAAAGGACCAAGTTCAAGAATCCGCCGATCGGGCTTCTAATAAAATGTTTATTCGTAATACAAACTGCACAAGACAGAGGGAGACTACGCGGCAATTCGCACATGCGCAGTCTGTATCCTCGGTGAATACACCGTGTTACCCTTCACGATTCGATCCTACTGGGTGAAGTTGATAAAAATTCGGGTTTGCGCTTCGACTACCTTAAAACTATAGTGTAAGAATGGGGTTATAGTATTGGATCCAATTTCCGACTTCATGAGTGCACGATCGATAAAGCATAGTATTTCACGCGCAGACTCACACATATGTGAACATCTGGGTCAAATTCCAATCAAATTCTATGCAGGCCAATCTCTCATCCCTTGGGGTAAAATAGTGCCGGATTCGTGGGTTTGGGAAGGCATACACCGCACGGTATATGCTGCATGTCCACAGTCCTAATATGCCTTCGAAATCCCAAATAAAACTTCGAATCGTTATAAAATAGTTGAATACGTGGCGGGTCTCAACAGATCGACGTCGGAAAAACGATGGATTTTCAATACAATGGACAGCCTCTCAATCAAATGCAGGACACAATGCTATGAACTTCTGATTGAGAGATGTACTGCAAATATACGGTGTGAGTGTGACCACAGCTCTGCTTGTTTTGCAACCTCCTAAGTATCTGTTATATAAAACCTAAGACAGAAGCTTGAAGGCGCATCCCGGTATAGTATAGTGTGGCTATTGAGTATAAAACTCAAAACTGTTAGTGCTATGTTCTGCCAGAAAAAAAGAAAAGCAAAAATCCGCCGGTAACGGCGAAAACAAGTCACTTTTGTAGCTGTTTTGGGGTACTGTACGAGAAAATGTCGAAAAAAGTGCGCACCACGGTCGAGAGACTAATGAAATAGTATGAATGCAAAGGAGGCGCAAACAATGACATGGAATCAACATCATTTTCGATACGCGCTTTGCGGATAGGGTGGAGGTAATGATAAATGTAGCCCTGTCGAAGTCGTAAAAACGTCACAACCTATGAGCTCCTGAGCCGGTCCAATACACAAACGAACGGAGTTTGGGTACGAAGATAGCCGCGGATAGTGCCTTTAAGTCTGTTCATCTCAGCTTCAAAAAAGCTTACCTCTTTAGCAGCATTAACCCTCAGTTCTTTACAGGAGCTATCAGAAAACCATGACGCATGAGGTGTATGTATCACATTAGGGCATTGAGAAAGTGGATCTGAAAACAATAATTAACCTAAGATCCAGACAGATTGTTTAAGCAAATAGCTCTGGAAGGGAGCTAGTGATTGAGCAGTAGAATAAGTCATAATTATTAGCTGAAAAACTCACTCATAATGTTTCCTTCATAGGGTTCCTGCTCATGAACGTCCAAGGCAGCACCTCGAACATGGCCGGATTTCAGAAAGCTAGCAAGGTCAGCCTGAATAGCAAAACGTTAACAAATGAGCCACAACCTTAGAGAATATTATTAGTGAATAAAAATAACTGATATAAAAAGTGTTTCGTAACTACACACCGGGACGAATTTTTTTTTGGAATTTTATACGGTAAAACCTGGAAATGTGGAACAGGAGATGAATAAGGCAACAAGGGCCCCGATTGCTAGCCAAGATGGGTATACGCTTGGAGGTTGTGAAAACGATTTTCGGTAATTACAGGTTGTATTCCCACTTATCCTTATTTACTCTTTCGGCCTCCTAGCCAGCGCAAACAATTTAGCTTCGTAAGTTGCTTATTTCGAATTCACGTACTCTTGCTTTACCTAACACTTTGTGTACACATTTAAAGGTCACATGTGCATAAAATCAGAATTACTGGTTCCAGGATCTTACATAAACAAAATTGGAACAAAACTGCCTTCTCTTCTTTTCTTTTTCAATATTTTCGAATATAGGTCAATACTCGTCATATTTGCTACATTGGGCAGAGGTGATATAGTGGCTAGTGGTGCCGCCTTCTACGCGCCTGGTTCGGGGCTCAAATCTCGGATCGGATCTCAAGGAAAAGCACTAATATCCATCTCAGTTGGGACTAGCAAGACATGATATAGGTCACCGCATTCATTTGCTCTTGTTTCTGAACAGAAGTAGAATGCATGGCACATCTCCAATGATATTGATCAACGCTGAGCTTTATTCCTTCTACCCTTTCTATCGCCTTTCACTTCTTGTTGAATTGAACCCGTTCATATTCTCCTCTCCAACGCCTAACTTTTCGTTTCGTGGAACTGTGAACTGGCACGTGAACAGAGCATTTTCATGTCTTTGTAGAATATATCAGCGAAAAACAATGTTACATGTAATAATGCCATAAGTTCTCAGAAACTTGAGAATGTCGTGTCCAGCCAGTCAGTAAGAAAGTTCAATTGACATGAGCAGAAATAGTATAAGGGCCCCAGAAAGCATCATAGCCGACAAATCCTTGCCACCAGTACATATTTCATAGGAAATTACATGTTAAGAAACAGTAAGGATAGGTAATCTGATATATTTCCAAAGATATACAAATCCGAAGTATACAACACGAAATTGTGAATAAATAATGATTTCATCCTGCTAATCCTCAGTTACCTTGTATAGGAAAACTATAAAATGGAAATTCGCACTAAACGAAAAGAGAACTACGACTGAGGAGAACAAGTGGCGCATCCCGTGGCAATCAAGGAGACAGCTCTTTTTCAAGAACGTTAAGCTGAGAAGGAGCAGTCGTGATATCAAGTGAGAAGGACTGGAGTACTCCGAAAGACGGGGAAAAATACAGTGCGTCTCCTAATGATACAGCCAGCCAAGCCAACTTTGGCTTGGCTACTCTTTCCACGGAAAAAATGTCCCGGTTTTTGTCAAGGTTTCTTTCCAAAAACACTGCCATTTTCACTTTCCGCTTAAGAGCGAACTTGGAAGTTCTTCACTACTTACCAAGCACTATGCATTAGGAGATTAAGTTCGAAAGAGGCCTCTAATTACGAGCACGGCTTGATGAAATTGGGTGTTATTTTCATAATTCCGCATTAACCTTGATCAAAAAGCAAAGAGGAGCTTTCAGAGAACTTTCCAGCTTTATTTCCTTCGATATGCTGGAAGAAATTGTTTATCATCCAGTGACTTCGACAAAGTTCCGCGCAATGTGACCACTGGCGCTTACTTTCTTTTTTTTTTCTGCGACCATTTGCCCTTTTGGGAATCCAACAACTGCTTTCCTTTCGTGATGACCTAGAAAAGAGAAATTGATGACTACCATCAAATTTCATCAAGCAAAAATGAAATACAACGAAAAAAAACACGGGGTGGCTGTATCATTTGGAGACGTTGGAAAAGCGACCCTATCCTGGAAAAATTAGAGGCAAGACGTCGCATCAAAAACGACCTATCACAGGGGACAGGGTCAACCGTCCGTTGGACAAAGTCCAACGCGACGACGAGAGTAATGCCGAGAGTGAACGTACGCACGGAGACACAGACGGCTCGCGGGTGGCGAGAGTGAATGCCGGCGCGGAGAGCGGTGAACATCGGTCCAACGTCGCTCCAATATCGGTCCAACGTAACGGTTGACCCTGCAAGGCTTCTCGAAGGGACGCATGGAAAAAATGATGGGATGCGCGCAGCGCCAAAGAGTGGGGAGCACAACACTAATGAAATGTTGAAAATGATCTTCCATTAGGGGTGATTATGATAGCTCGAAGCTGGTGCTTTCAACGAATTAGCTAGGAATATATAACTACACATCCATTTCGACCTAATCATGACCAATTTTGAATTGCTGTCAGTACATATGAAACCGTTTGAAAGAAAAAAAAAGAGCGAAAAGGTAAATCATACTATGTAAAATAGAAATACGATGAATTTAGGTAAGAAAAGACAGTGATAAGCAAAGAAACATGAGCAAGGCGAAAAAGGTAAGCATACAAAGAGAAGAGGTGGTAGGGAAAGAAGGAAAAGGCGATACGAAGCAACGACATGAACAAAGAAAGGAAAGGGTGAGAAAACAAGATAGGAGTTGTAAATGGAAAATCTGAAAAGGATTGAGAAAAAAGTGAAAAGAGACTCATTGTCAGAAAAGCAAATAGAGCTGGGTCGTAGAACAGGGAGCAATAAGGTGAAAGGGTATGATGGTAAATAACTGATGGAAAGTAAAGGAATGATTCGACATTGATTGATCAATTTTTGAGATGCGCCCGATTCCGCTTTTCTTCAAATCAAATTGGCATTCGATTGCGACTTGGCTTACACAACATTTGCTCTGGTGGACGTATGGAGTGATGGTTTGCTCTGGTTCTTAAGCCTGGCACAAACGCCATACATATGGTGGGGATTCTGAACTGGACCACAATAGATGGCTGGTATAATCCGTGAATCCGTGAAAGATAGGAATTCAGGCACTTGAGGCCAAATTTTTGGCTATTCGTCTAAATCTGTGCGGTACACCTTGCTTGCCTCCTCAGCCACTATACCTTGGGTTTTTGAATAACTGCAAATTGTTTCAGAATAGAAAAGGTTTGACTAGAGCGTTCACCTCTGCACTAAAATTAAGACCTGACGCTGAAAAGATGAGCTATCCTAGGGGAATCTTCCAGCTGCATATGTACCAGGACAGAATTTGTTCATTGTCGCAAGGTAGAGATACTTAAACGTGGCGAGGATTGCAAATAATCCCCAAGTTTTACTACACCCGCTGATTTTTTGTCACGCAAATATGGGCTCTAGCCCTGATGGATAAAGAATTGCGTCAAGATTTTCCAAATCATTTTATGAATGGGTAAGATAAGGAAGTGGTAAGCGAACACGGGTTCTTAAAGGCAAAGTTCGGGCTCAGACCCACCTAATAAGCCCTTAAAGTGGCTAGAAGTGCATGGGACGCAACTGCAGGCGACTCGCCAAGTTCCCGCATCGAAATGCGTCACTAAGGCGCTAGGGGCCAAGGACTTTGACACGCTCCACCTGTTGCGACACGCTCCGCCCACCGCTCGATATCTTGTCTGCGTCGCGTTGATCTGCTATGCTCTCTCTCTCGGACTTCTCTACCGCTCTCCGCGCTCACATTATCTCTCATCTCCCTGCCGGCCTTTTGAACTTCTCCGCAGCGTAGAGCAAAAGGCTCGTATTTCCTGTGTATTTCAGGATTTTCTTTCCTTTTTTCTCCACTGGCGGTCCACCTCCCACCCCTACATCACATTTGAGTAGAATTACCTCATCATTTAAGCTGAATCTTGCCTTTAAGTACACCTCCATGGAGACAGGATTTGGCTTACAAGGTTCCAATCATTAAAGAACCGAAAACTAGCTAAGAAACTAGTTTTCTCGTACGCATTCAGAAAACCGTAGAGATACAAAAAACCAGTCGAAAACTTAAAGTCCTTCAAAGTTTGGTCAATGAATTCATGACACTCATGGGTGTCGCTCCGCGTAGCCACAAATGGCAAAAAAATGCGGTAACGAACAAGCGTTAGCCGAAATAATAGTTTTCGTGCATTACATTTGCCCCTTAGAAGTCAGATCAACACAAGATCTTCCTTTTGAACGCTAAGTACCTCAGAACTCAGGCGGTCACAAAAAGTAGACAGTACAACATTTAACCCATTCGTGACAATGGCAGCCACCGGTGGCTGACAAAGATCTCACTCGGGACAATGGTATCCACCGGTGGCTGCCGTGTTTCAAATGGAATTTGGAAAGTTTTCTTTCCTGAAAAGAATCTTCATACCCTCGCTCATCTACGCCAGCCCTGGGCAGGGAAATCTCCATTCACTCAAATTTTATTGAAGAGCTATTGCGCAATCCAGCGCGGTCGCGACTGGGTTAAATATTTGAGGGGAACTGGTCAGTAGGGAGAAAGAAATGCATTAAAAACCATTTTGGCCAAAACTCTTTACTGCTAATGTGTGACTGCACATGGGTGTTGGGTACCCCCCAGGAGGCCCGTCGCGCGGCAAGAAGGCAGAGTCGCGGACGAGTTGCAGCGCGTGGTGTGCGATGTAGGACGTGCAATGGGACACTCTATTTAACTTGACGCGAAATCCCTATAGTACGCGCGCGACTCGTCCGCTGACTTTGCCTTCTTGCCGCGCGACGGGCCTCCTGGGGGGTACCCATGGGTGTTACACGGCCCGGAGTAAGGTATAAGTCCGAACCGGATCGCACCATCTCAAAACTTCAGTCCTGTTCTCAGTGTTAAAAAGAATGATCAGAAATCGATTTCATGTCAAAATATTATTAATTTAAGGACACACCTCATCGATAAGACCTCCTCGGCTCGTATTAATGATGAATACACCCGGTCTGCATTGTTTCAGCGTCTGTTCATTGATGATGTGCCGAGTTTCATCCGTCAATAAACAATGCAATGAAATCGCATCACTCTTCATCAGTAAATCGTCCAGAGCGTAACACCTGAAGATCGTTTCAAATACATTAACTCGCTTGAACTTTCACTTAGTTTTTATACGTTTATTTAGCTACTGACAACAAGAACTCTATACGAAGACAAAATTCAGGTTAAGTAGCACTTTGTATTTTAGATGATACTTCGCAACGTGGGTTTGAGTTAAGGTTTGGCACGGACCCATAGAGGGACCTCGTCCAATCAAACCCTCAATAATAAGACCAAGAATAGTACACCTGGGTGCGTGTGCTGATGTACAGGAATCTTCAAAGCCAGTTCAAATTGTCAAGTTAGGAAATTTGTAAGAACCTGAACAGTCTTTAGGAACTGCTTCGATTTGGAACAAAGGAAAACAAAACAAAAAAGAAGGAAAGGAAAGGAAACAATTGGATTCGAACATTGCCCAGAAGACGCCTCGGAAATCACTTCCCTTTACAAACAGCCGGGTTTGCAAGCCAACAAGCAGTTTACCAAATTAACCTTGACCAAACAAGTTGTGGAATGCAATTTATAGAAATAAAACGAGCTTGCAAGATGAAGAACAAGCCCTTCAGGACACGTAGTATGAATCGGTGGTCCAGCTCACGGACCAAGTTCGTGAAATAGTGGTCGTGCAGAGGTCTAGCAGAGCATGCTATGCGAGGTTGAGCCACTCTCACGGGCGAGCTCAAGACATTGCTGGGGAGGATATTATTACAGAATGAGAGATGATGCCTCATGATTCATCAGTCTTGCTTTTTTTCTATAATAATGGAAGCTTGGGAGAGCCGGTCCAGCTAAACTCTAAGCTAGAGCAACTCTGCGGGTGAGGTAGTAGTGACGCTGAGCACAAAATTCGTGGCACTGCTGCGACTAGAAAAGGCAAACAAGGACGAGAAGACCTTGTCCTGACACTGTAACCTGCACTTTTGCTGAATTGCAGCATAAGCTGTGTCTACGCTCTCTCGTACGGAGGTGGTCCCGCTTCTTCTCTCCGTCACACCCACAGATGACATGGCAGGGAAAAGGGTCGCAGTTCAGTGACTTGGACGGTGCCTTTGGCTATTTTCTGACTCCTCTTCCTATTTTTCTTATCATTTTCAAGCAGAAAAAAAGTCCAATTCGATTACGACCCGTGCTTCTAAGATTCTACAAGAGCCGGGATTATTACTACTTCTGACGAGGCTTTACTGACAAAACTTCTCGCAATTTGATACTTTTTTTATTGAAATGTGCGAGAATAACGTAACGCCAAACCTTTCAACTCCGAGGGCTTTTTCAAATCCGTCGGGTACGAACGGATCATAGAATGCGATGTTCATCCCAAACGAACGAGCACGTAAAGCGACGGCTGTTCCAACACGTCCCATACCGATGATTCCCAGTACATCACCACGCATTCGTTTACTTCCACCGGCTACCTCTCGCACGTGTTCGGCCCCTACCACCTGGAAAATTCATATGAAAAGTTAGCGATTAGACTACGGCGATCAAAAAATGTTCGAGACTTCATCATTGTTTCGTGTTCACAAATTTCCAATAATTCTACTTTCGTGTTGATCAATATGAAGATGTTGGAATATGTTGCAGGTGATCCAACCTAACCCCGTTCCACCAAATCTGGTTCGCCAGAACACCACTGAGCGCCCGACAACGGGTAGGATGTTGTAACGGTGTTTTGATAACTCACCCCAAGTAACCCTTTCGACCACTGGTAGTGGGAAGAAGAGAGCAGCACTGAGGCCGGAATTCTGACTCAAAAATCGCAGGGCTAACACGACAGCCCCCTAACCTCCTAGCGGCTGCCATTCATGTTGTACCAATTTCTGCCGGTGGTAAAGGAATCATCACCAGAAAACGAATCCAATTCTATCTCACCCACGAATCACTGGCTTGAGAGAAATTCACGAAAGAACAAAAAAAAATTGAGTTCTTCGCGATAGATAATTCGAAAAACCTGATGGATGGTTACGCGTTCAAATTTCCGCCGTACAACTGTCACAGATGTGAGCGATTTTGATTTCAAGTGGTTCTTCGGAAGGAATTCAATAGGGACCCTTTTTGGCCTATCCACTTATTGCAATAACCTCTCTTTTAATACTGAATTCTATTCTATCGATCGTTTTGTATTCTATTCTCCGGATCTTCCATTTAACCCGATTCTTTCAATGCGTCGCCTGATACGTGGTCGCCCAAAGCGCACTTCTTCCATGCGTTCCCTTGTCTCCGCCCGACCTACCCGCGACCGTCCCAGAGTGTGGTTTTGTAGTTTGTTTCTCTTCAGAAACTGAATCTTCTTGCGTGAAACTTTGTACGTTGTCTCCAGTGATCACAACTGACATATTCATGTTAGGAAAGAATGCAGACTTTTTGGGGACGATTCCATTGTGAGAGATCCGATAAATTCGGCTTATAAGACAGTTTTCCGAAAATCAACAAAAAATGACTTCAAGAGTCCGAGACAAGCCAACCAGCAAATATTCAGTGGTTCAAAGAATTCGCGCTTCCCTGCACGATCCCTTTCTTTTAAAAGGACCTCAAGAGCCCTAGATCTTGTTTTTGACTATTTATTTTTGTAAGAATCCCGATCAAATAAGAACTCAAAAGGAGCAGAACAAAATAAATATCAAAATTCGAATCGGTCAAGTGTGAAAAAACAACTAATGCACACAAAATCGTATCGGTCAACACTTTTGACCGCTGGGCATCAACCCGCAACTCACATTGGTTCTGCTGAACAGCATTTTTGTAAAAGAGCAATTTTTTAGAAGTCGACCTCATTCCATTGAAATTACTTCGGAACATTATACGCCCGGTTTCGCTTCCAGGAATGAGAGTCATGGAGTAAGCAAATTGGAATCGCAAGACGAATCCCAAATAGGAGAAGGCAGGATTAGGTAAATCTAATTAGGAGACATCTCATCGGGATCTATCGATATAGCCGTCCTTCCTACTGTAAGCGAAAAACGCTTGAAAGCCTCCAAATACTTGAAAAAAAAGATAAAAAAGCAGAATATAACTATACTTACTTTTTTGCCCTCACTAACGGCTTTCGCCAGCCAATATGTTCGTCTGTAGAGATTCAGTATGAGAGACATGGTAAAATCGGCGATCTCTTCTATACAGTCACCAGGCGTATGGCATACAGCGATCCCTGAAAAATAAGTCGCATTAGGGTTGCGCAATGACATCTCGCCTGAACACTGAATCCTGAATTTTGGAGCCAACATCCGAGGGAGAGGAGAGCTCAGAGCCACCGCATTCAGGTACTAGCATGGATCCTTGAGCGGTTTAACCTTTGCAAAAAAAAGACCAACGCGTGCGCTTTTTATTTTTGAGCGTTCCCTTCTGCGAGCATTTACAGTATCTAACTCTGGGTAATAGGTAGCAGTAAGGAGAAGCACATATTGCTCCTATCTACTGAGCATTCTTATCTAGAACATTTAAGGAGACTATTTCGCTCCTGGGGCGGACCTGGAGACCAATCTCGCACCTATCAATCCAATGTATTTCAGTCCGTCCAAATGCCGCAATCCGAATGATAATTAATCAAATTAGGATTTTACAGGGCGGAAGTGGTGTAGTGGCAAGTGGCACGCTTACCACGCGAGCGGTCCGGGATCAAATCCTGGGTCGTGAGTCGCCCGGGCCAACCAAGCCTTCCATCCCTCCGGGGTCGGTTAATTGGTACCAGACTTGTCTGGGAGGATAAAAACACTGACTTGTACATCGGCTGGCCCCCGCAAGTCATTGTATAGGCCACATCGCATTCAAACGCCACTACGAATGTACAAATGGAAGTAGAATGCGTGCCGCATCCCAAAAAGGGATTGATCAACGGCAAATGCTTTATCTTTTTATCCTTTAATTTTACAAGCTCTCAGAAAGCTAAGGGCATGCTATTAGCACAATTCTTCGACAAAGTCAAACTTGCAGACTACTTTGAGTATTTCAAGATCTTTAACCATTCCTGTGACAACCCTACCCTTGGGAGCTTTCGAAAATTTTCACGACCAGCCATTAACCCCCTTCCCTTTTCGGGGGTCTTGCTACGACCCCGCTCCTATGAATGTGTATGTATGGAAACGATGACATGACAATCATTGCCATCGTGGAACAGCTACCGGGGTTGGCCGTAGCAGTGTGAGAAACCGTCTTGAATGTCTCAGAAACCCTTTTCTCCAGATGAACGCCCGATTTCACAATCCAAAGATAACCCGTTTTGTGGGAAATTGACTGGACCAAAGTATCAATCATATAGCCCTGGCATTGCTCCGTCAAACTACATATCCTCTTCGCGTTGTGTTGAAGCAGCAGCGGCGACAGAAAAAAGTCAATGAATACAACCACCTAAAAGCAACTTTGACCAATTCTTCGAGCCTCACTCATTCTGGGGAGAAAGCACCCGAAGGTGTCCTAGCCATTGGATATATATCAGTGATTATATTACATATTAATGGTTATATTTTCGATCAGTTGATTATTGAGAAATGTAAAACTTTAAGGGAAGAAAGTGTTAAAATTCGGACAGGAATTTTGGGACAACCCAACAAAGGTTAGCCTGATACGTAAGACGCCATGTAACGGTTGACAAAATTATTAAAAACGAAGATAGGTATTGGATGGTAACACGTATTACACTTGCAGAGGAATAGTTCGAAGGACATCGCGATTCACGCCACGTTGGCATTTGTTAAAGGCAAAGTTCGGGCTCAGACCCACCTAAGAAGCCCTTACCATGGCTAGAAGTGCTGGGCACGCAAGTGCAAAGGTAGCGCCACCTTTCTACATCGAAACCCGTCACTAGGACCCTAGGCGCCATGGACTTCTAACAGACTCCACCAAACTTAACATGGTCCGCCCACCGTTCGATATCTTGTCTGCGTCGCTGCGTTGATCTGCTATGCTCTCTCTTCTCGGACTTCTCTACCACTCTCCGCGCTCACATTATCTCTCATCTCCCTGCCTGTCTTTTGAACTTCTCCACAGCAGAGCAAAATGCTCGTATTTCCTGTGCATGGAAGGTTTTTTTCCTTTTTTCTCCATCTTATTTAGTAACCTGCTCAAGTGGGCAAGAAAAAGTTTGCACTGGCGATGTCGAACGAGCAGGATGACGACATCTTTCTACAAAAATAGCCCTCCAAATGGCTACACAGCACCACAACCTCGATGGCGGCAGCGTAATGGCTCGCGGGTTGCACCCCTCAAAGTAAGTTGCCCTTATGTATCCCTCATATAAGAGATTAGCTCTGTAGTCCGACGGAATATAATAGCAGCGCAGTTGCAGGATGATGTCCATTTGATGAATATTCCCAATGAAAACACCGAACGGCAGGGTTTAAAGCAGGCTTCACGACGAGCAGTGCATATCGGAAAACGGTGTTATATGCCGCACGGCAAAATTGGCAATTGCGCGCAAGTAGGGCTAATATATGGACTCTATTGTCAGGCATTTAGGTCGAAATCCATAACAAGAACTGCGGAGAAGGAACGTCTCATTTGAGACCCTACCATGTGTTCAGAGTTACCCACATATGGGGGCGCGGAGCTATCACAGCACTTAGAGGTATAAGTTAAAGGCAAGAATCAGGATTAAATTGATGGGTTGATTCCACTCAAATGTGAAAGTAGGGATGGGAGGTGGACCGCCAGTGGAGAAAAAAGGAAAGAAAATCCTGAAATACACAGGAAATACGAGCATTTTGCTCTATGCTGTGGAGAAGTTCAAAAGACAGGCAGGGAGATGAGAGATAATGTGAGCGCGGAGAGCGGTAGAGAAGTCCGAGAAGAGAGAGCATAGCAGATCAACGCAGCGACGCAGACAAGATATCGAACGGTGGGCGGACCATGTTAAGTTTGGTGGAGTCTGTTAGAAGTCCATGGCGCCTAGGGTCCTAGTGACGCGTTTCGATGTAGAAAGGTGGCGCTACCTTTGCACTTGCGTACCCAGCACTTCTAGCCATGGTAAGGGCTTCTTAGGTGGGTCTGAGCCCGAACTTTGCCTTTAAGGAAGATAATGGCATCGGATATACTACGTGTATCGCACTTTCCTTGGGGTATGAGGAAAATTTCGGCAAATTCGAAGAAAAAACAAAAAAAAACATACACCCTGGACTAGAGGGTCCAGGAATGAGCAAACAAGATGAACACCCTTCGACAGCAGGAAAGCTCCCGCTGTTCAAACTGCTCAAGATTATAGCAGATCACAACAGATAATTACCTGTGCCTCCTAACTAATTATAAGAAGACAAATACAGTAGGGACTGAAGTAATCATCGAAACTTTTTCTGCAGTTCTTGCAGTTCTTTTCGTACCTCATGAACGACTTGAAGATCGACTGAACACTTGTTTTTCCCCTGAGTACCTACTTCCTAGGAATCGAAAATCTCAGATCGCAAAACGCTGAAAAAACATAACATATAAATCACAAGAATGCTGAGTTGTGAACAAAACTTTCGCCCCAGCCGGGACTAGAACCCGCACCTCTTGCTTTCCGGGCAAGTGCGCTACCAGTTACGCTACCGGGGCACCATTTCACCCCAACTCAGCTTATCCAGAAAAAAGTCGGAATGGTAATAATATATCAATGTTTGAGGGGAATCGGCAAGTGAGAAAAATAATGCACAAAAAAGGTCCAAACGAAAACTTTGACCGTAGTACGTAATACAGTAATCTTTATTTGAATTGACCAATATTCTATTATTATATCAAGGGGTTTCGCACAGAAAGTCGGGATGGATGAATAGGATTTCTGTAATTAAAGCGTAATTCTAGCAGTAGAAACATGCTCGGACTTTTGAAGAAGACGATACAGTCGAAATGTTATGTTATTTGATTGAAGTTCCATCGTACCTCCCAGGCACAGAACAACTAACCAACTTGACTTATATGACGAAGTTGTTGGTTGACCAGGGTTAATAATTGTATTCGACTAAATCTGAGCACCTTAAATAAAACTCGTGTTAGTCTAAAGATCCACAGATCACAAAGGGTGAGCCGAAATTACGAATGCCATTGCTGCATCTTGCTTTTTGTTTTCATTCTCTCGCCATATACAAATTAAAATTACCTATCTCAAATAATTTCAAGAAAAAATTTCGATCAGGGCGGAAGTGGTGTAGTGGCAAGTGGCACGCTTACCACGCGAGCGGTCCGGGGATCAAATCCTGGGTCGTGAGTCGCCCGGGCCAACCAAGCCTTCCATCCCTCCGGGGTCGGTTAATTGGTACCAGACTTGTCTGGGAGGATAAAAACACTGACTTGTACATCGGCTGGCCCCCGCAAGTCATTGTATAGGCCACATCGCATTCAAACGCCACTACGAATGTACAAATGGAAGTAGAATGCGTGCCGCATCCCAAAAAGGGATTGATCAACGGCAAATGCTTTATCCTTTATCCTTTATTTCAATCGACCGATTTGTGATGATTCTAGTTTAAGTTATATCTGTCATAAGTGAAAAGCGTTGGTGGATCTAATCTTTCTGTATGCGCCATGCACCGACTTCCAGTAAAAATTGTAGGCCACTCTGAAGGCGATACTATATTCAATCTGCAGGGCCCCGCTGTGTATAGAGAAACGGTTCAATTCTCCCACTCGAGTCTGGTACCGATCAACTAATTCCAAAGAGGAAGACCGTTTGTTTGGTCTAGGCAGGATTCGATGTTCGCGTGATCCCCGGAACTCACGCGTGATGAGCAGCCCCACTTGCCACAACACTATCACCGCCAAAGCATTAGATATGACTCAAAAAACACATTGTATTTACAGACTCTTCGAAATTATGAGGAATACGGTATTGGTGCTGATGTGTAAAGGTGCGCCTTGCAATCGAAATCCATTTGGAACAGGTGCATTTGATTGTTTATTAGACCACTACATATGATGGGTTGCGGGATAGCCAATATTCAAGATGGAATTTTGGTTATCACCTTCCGGTAATTTTGTCACCAGATCATTCCGAGCGGAGGTTGGAAGGATAACATGCAGGAACGGGTGTGGGTAAACGAGCTACGATGTTCCAGCTACTACTTGATCACCACGACCCACAGAGTGGCAAAACAATTACGCGCGCGTGACATTTGACCCCACTTTAACCATAGTAAGAGCATTTGCGCATACTGTGGGGGTTTCTATAGAAGTGACTTAAGACACGAAACGGAAACATCGTAAAACTATCTATCCTATAAGATTAATTCGTAACATGTAAATTCTATCATTTATCGTCCGTATATTTTATTTTATTTTATCAAGTTTCTAGGGGCGGAAGTGGTGTAGTGGCAAGTGGCACGCTTCACCACGCGAGCGGTCCGGGGATCAAATCCTGGGTCGTGAGTCGCCCGGGCCAACCAAGCCTTCCATCCCTCCGGGGTCGGTTAATTGGTACCAGACTTGTCTGGGAGGATAAAAACACTGACTTGAACATCGGCTGGCCCCGCAAGTCATTGTATAGGCCACATCGCATTCAAATGTCACTGCGATGTACAAATGGAAGTAGAATGCGTGCCGCATCCCAAAACGGGATTGATTGGAGATGATCAACGCAAATGCGGTTTCCTTTAGTCCTTTATTTCCAATTGTTCTATGGCTGCGTTTACTATTGTCTTCCGTGTACTTCATATTACATATGTATTTGTGCTTCATGACGAAAAAGCCGATAAAATAACTAAAAATTGGGATAAATTTGCGAAAAAAAATCATTTTGGGAAAGTGTAGACGTAAAGCGTTCGCTACACCTCGATTTATGATAGAAAAATGATGTGTTCAACAACGATGTTGAGTAACTTCGGAAATTCTTTCTAATCACGCGATGTTTGGGTTTATACTTGAATAAAACAAATTTCCTCCATTGTTTGTGGGCAGGAAACGAAGTCTGAGGCCTTTCTAGGATAAGTAATTTTCCGTCACCTTACCTTTCAGAAGTTGCAGATATCTTAATATTGTGTACGGCGTGCGTACGCTTGTGTGCGAACATTGTGACGCAAGATTTCAGAACAAAAGTGCATGATAGCGGTCGACCTAACCAATTGTTCCAAATTTTCGGAGATTTGTACAATTAAGTCAGATAGACGGGAAGAATATTTTCAAAAGCCGTTAATATGATTTCGAGAAATAAGGTTGGGTGGTTTTCAAGTGGGGGGCGGTTCAAAGGTTTTGGAAGACTTTTTGGTTCCTTATCGATTATGAGTCTCTTTCATGTTCACTTGTTTTATTAACTTGTTTAGTTAACATTGAGGCATGTGTTATTTCCAAATTATGAATGGTATTCGCAAGGAAGCGTTTCATTGGAGGTTCTTTTTAAGACTAACATGCCCGGATACGAGGTTAAAACGTTTTCGTTAAGCGTACTTCAGTTTATGTAAAGCAATATTTCGAATGTTTGTGGCAGTTATGGGTGGGGTAAAATAAGAAGATAGGATTCCAAAAGTTATCTTTAACAAGAAAAGTGTGGTCGTATTTAAATCTTCGAGGTGGTTAGGAAGTCCCGTACAACCGAGATTCGGTAAGTGGGAGACACCTTTTTCTGGTTTTACCTAGTCAGTATCAGTCCAAGTCGAACAATCGCGACCTGGTGAATATCGGATGGGTATCAGCAAAGCCTTGTGTATTCTTTGATGCGGATGGTCGACTGGTATCGCACAGGATGCGGTAACATGGTGGACGAAGGCATAAGGTGAAGTATTGTTCAGCAGCGACGAATGAGATTTCCATCTTCCTAGAAATAGTGTTGTAGACCCTGTAAAGTGTTCTGTCAAATGGAACCTCATTTTGAGTAAGATCCCAACATTCAGAAATAGTGGAAGTACTGTCATGGATGAACATGTGTCCGGCCATTCGGCGATTCCACAGTTCTAGGTATCCAGCGAAATGTGGGTTGGGCTAAGTACAAGTATAGTCTGTAGAATACAATGCTTACCTTCGATAGTCAGAACTAGCCGGAAGATGAGTTTCGTGGGTTTTCTATCGCGGAAATGACCCAATGCAGGCCTACCTTTACTGCCGCCTTCCTAAACCCAGAAAAAGAAGCTGCTATGAAGCGACCAAGTCAAGATCTAAAGTCTAATTGAGTTCTACATCCCACGGAAGAACTGGCATGTCGCTCAACCCACATTCCAGTTAAGAATCCCACCAAACAATGTGATTTAGTTCACAGTGTGTAGGGTTCGACTTAAAAGTCCTAAAATTATTTTATAATCAACTCCATGTCAATAAAAACGACGCTAACATAGAAATTCACAGCTACTCATCAAATAACTAATTTATCATGTGGATTTGAGAGCTATTTTGCCGAATTCGCTTTGGAATTCGGAAGTTTCCAAACTTTTGACGCGCCATTTCTTATAAAAAAATTCGTATTTTTCAAATGCGATTTCAGTTTTCAAAAAATTATGTTGCCCATCGTAATCTACACTTGATTCTGAATATAATATGTGAATTCGGGACAATTTCATTGTCTATTGGCTACGCTAGATCAAAAATAAAAAAGTTTCCAAACTTTTGACCGCTACTGTAGTTTTACCCGATTTATTTGACATTTTTCAATGTTTCTGAAGTGTTGCATGTATTTTCAGGATGGGAAAATAATACATGTCATCACTAGTAAACCTGTTGGAAGATTAATAATGACCCATTTTTGAAAAACATGAAAAGGATACGGAGATACTCCTACAACGGAAGGTCCGCAATGTGTTGACCAACTCAATTCATAGTTCTCTGTTACCTTGCAAAATGTAACGGAAAAAGAATGCCGAGGTTTGATTAGCAAGCTGGTCATTAGCACTTTGGCTAATTAGGAGCTGCAGGGGGTAATTTGCAGTACTATTATCGAGCGACTCGTACTAGCCCTTCTTGCACCAGCTCATTGCCCAGGAATTCCGACTACTCACTCGGTATTGAAGCTACGAATCACCGAGCACTCATGAAGCTCCGTTTCATTGAATACTACTAGTTTAGTCAGGCAAAGAGTATTTGTTAATCATTACTTTTTCATTCTTTGTTGGTAATTCATAAGGTATTCAAATCCTATCAGCCCTCCTTGCTGGTACGACACAACAACTCCTTTTAATTGCATCATGCCGAACATGAGTAACGTATAAAATGGAGCCAATATCGGAATGAATTAAGTAATGCATATGGTAGTATTGCTGTGCCGATGTCTTCCCTCAGCAGTCAGTTAACATCAAACGATCCCCAGTTAGCGGCACATGAATCACCTCGCCGCGTGTGGTTGCCGACTGACTGCATGTCGTTATGCAGCAGCCCTGGAGGTCTTAATGACGATGAATACTACAGTAATCATGTGAAGTGATACAAAACATTTTTACCGTTCAACTTTCAGCTGTGATGACCAAACTTAAAGGCACCATCCGCAACTATTTTCGTACCCAAATCCTTTTTGTTCGTATATTGGCAGGCTCACGAGCCGCAGGTTGTGGTGTTTTTAAGACATCAGCATGTGCGGCAGGCTACATTTTTCCCCACTTTACTCACCTAAACATCGGCAAGCACACCAGTGATAACTAGTGAGTTACCCACACTTTGGTTTGAATCATCTGGCTGTCTTTTTGGACGCCAGACATTGAGGATACGCACGCTGCGACATTGCCCTTTCATTGCACTTTTTGCGATTCCATTTCGTCTCACTAAGGCGACGGAAGTAACCCGTCGCTGGATGGCTCGGGATTTTTCTGGCTGAAGCAGGGACACATGAGGCGGAATCCCAACACTACCACGTAAACAATACGTCTCACGCAATATGCCTCGGAGACCCTAATCGCATTTGCGTTCATTTCTGGTAAGTAAAAGGACGACGAGGAGCGCGCTCCTGCTGCTGCTTGGTATGAGCGCCAGCAATAGCCTAGGCATGTCCTGGCTGAGCTGGCTATGGTCTAGTGAGTCGGCATTTATTACTTAGTCAATAGGGAAGCGCGATCTGCTGCTCGTAATGCATACACACGAACCACGAATGCTGCACATATGGCTCAGCTTCTCCAATATCGAACACCTCGCCGGCAATGAACATCTTACGAATTTCCGTCTGACCCGATAACAACACGTGCCGCACATGTCATAAACCCGCGGCAAATACGATACACTCACCTAATTCAGTGGCCGCTTTCACATCGATATTGTCAAAACCGTAGCCGATTTTCACCACCACCCGTAATGCTTTGAATTTTTCCAAATCTTCCTTTTCGAGTTTAATCGAGTGATACATGAGCGCAGCGACGGCCTCATTCAGCACCTGAATCACAGTGATTTGTCATCTGAATCCGTCAAAACACCAGTTTCTCGACAGCTTGGATTGATCAGCACACCCATGTTCAGTATCAGAATGGCGGCCAGGGGATTTTCTCACTCATCCCATTGTCGCTGCGGCTTCGACTTGAAAAGTAGCATAGATGTGAGCGACAATTGTGTGACTCGTTACTGCCAACGCATTGATTAAAAAAGTCATTACTACTGCGACGCTGGTATATTGCCGCCGCCGTGAATATTAAATGACGCAGTTGAGCTCTCGACCGCACACACACACACACGCTCACACACACACGGATGCCAGGGGAGTGACGGCGATTTGGGCATTGGTAACGCGCCGGCCGACGGATGCGCCACCGTCGCCATCCTCGCCCTCCACTCTCGCGCTATGTTCTCGTCCCGTCAACAGAAGGGCTTGATATTGAAATGCAAACAGTGGTCGGGTCGATTGTCGCGATGGCGGTGTCTTATGGATGCAGGTGTTCCAGGGGCCAATCGTTCAACGCGCGCACACCGCGGCGGCCGCACCGACGACGCCGGTAGACCATCTGCCTCGCTGCGTTGTCGTCGTCAACCCCTGTGGCCGCGCTCCCCGGCGCGACCTGGTCGTCGTCCCAATACGCGGGCGCGGAGGCTTCGGGTTTCGGTCGATTGCTGCGGTCAGTGTGTTGTCTCATTATGAGTGCTTGCGACTTGTTGTGAGTATCAGAGTGATTCGCGTGAATAATTCGCGCAACCGCGAAGAAAATCAATGGGAAGTGAGGAGAGGAGGAGGAGGAGGAGAGCGGGGGGGTGAGGGCGCATGAGAGGAACACGGGGCGAAAAGGCGCGCACACACATACACATACGCACACCGAAACATGACCCTTATGTCAAGCGATGAGTCCAGAATCACATTTCGTCTCGTTTCTGCCACGTTTTTATCGGGAGCCATTTCCAAGCAATCGAGCAACTATCCAAAGTGAATTCAAAAAATAAAATAAACAGAAACGGGCTATTGAAGATGAGACTGACTTTTTCATGAATCTCATGCGTGGATTGCGCATCACAAAAAGCCACCGTGGCGACATCTTTCAGCAAAGGCATCTCAATGGTGCAATCACGTCCGTCCAACAGCGCCACCAACGGCCGTGCACCAGCGGGTCCGTTCATGTTACGCGCCGATGACACTGTAGATAAATTAGAATCACAAACATGAGCACCGGCGCTATATATATCACAAGATGTTTGTAATACTTAGAAAATATTAAGGATACAAAAACGTAAGTTGAGGGTCAAAAACGTAAGTTGAGGGTCAAAAAATGGGCTCAATAAGACTGCAAAAACTTTACTTACTGTGTTCATACGTCTGAAGCAGAACTAAACACTAATACCAGAAAATGGAACACAACGAAAAATAGGAGGAATGATCTCTGGATTTTCTATGAAAATACGATTTGCTCCGAGTGCCTTAATCTTGAGCGAACATCTAATTCCGATTCCAATGGTAAACTCTCATGATCAGCTTATAGCTAAGCAGTGAAACGGGAAAAATTCCGCATTCTACATATGTCAACTCATGAAAAAAAGAAAAAAGAGAAAATTGAAAAAAACATGAATGACGTCAATAAAAAGAATAACTGACTGGCGATAATGCCGTGAATGTTCTGCGGTCGTTCGACGGGCAGTAGTGGCGTCGGCTCTGCACTCAGTGGGCAGGGGCTCGTATCTATAAGGCGAACATTTGTTAATTGAACACTGTCTCCGTCTCTCCTATATGTCTCTTTGTCTAAACGAAGGAGTCCGCATTGGTGAGTGAGGGGTGAGAACTCACGAGGAAGAAAAGGGGCATAGGCTGATCGACGGGGGGGGGTGATGGGCGGGGGCCAACCCCGTCTGACAACGATGAAATGGAGGAGGGTGAAAAGCATAGGGTGCGACCAACCTTGCTCACACTCGCCTGTACTCGTTATCCCTCTCATGAACCCTTCTCAATCCGCGACACTGATCTCCGACTCACCCCGCCCAGTCGACTCGGCTTCGCTGTCATCGCATACAAGCATGAGCAGACACCTGCACGCTCATTACGTGCATGCAACCGATGATTCGGGTCGCCTCAGCCGAACATGTGTCAATTCGATTTGAACGGGACCTCCAAAATTTACAGGGGAAACGGAAACCAATACCAAATTCAGGAGCTGAACAACACAATGAGGAATATGCTTTTCAAAATATACTCCTAAAAAGAAAAGGGAAAACATGACTAACGAAAGAATGAGGGTAGATGGGTATTTCTACGGAGAGGGCTGCAATTTTTTTAAATTAATTAATTTGCAAAGTGGGAGCTTAGGTCCAGCCGTAGTGGCTTCATATCAGTGAGCAAGGCTACACAATTAACACTACAATACGGTTGCGGAACTAACGAGTCGAGTCGTTGTTTACTTCTTGGAATCCAAAAAAAAGATCAAAATAAAATGGGCGGAGCATGTCATTTTCAAATTCGATTCTCTGCAAAATCTTCAGCGGGATATGACGACGGTGAGACGTAGAAAAAACCCCTTTCCAGCGAGCTTATTCGCCATGAAAGTGCAACGTTCCTTTATGAAGATATATGAATTTGAAAGTAACCGCAGGTTTGCCCCGATGCATGGCTGACTGAGTAACCGAGGAGGCACTAGCACTTTTGGGAACGCGACGGCACATTCCTCCTCTCAGCCGACGACTATTTCTCGATACCTTGTACTTTCTATTGACTTGCGGGTAATAGACCAAGTAAAACACGGTTATGCTACATGTTTCTTAGAAAGAATATAAAGTTGATATGCAGTGAATGAAGAAAAGTTTAGGAATGAATCAGTTCAACGACTTGAGCATGATTCACTTCATATAATGATTCAGCGCGAATTCAAACCAGTAAATATGAAAACATATGTTCAAGAAAAATGACTTCAAAATTAGATCACTTGAAATTTGGTACCAGTGTAATTAGCATAATCGAAAGTGCGACTAATAGAGCAGACGTGCGACCTTCGACAATCATAAGAAAATGGTCTATGGATTAGCCTACTCAGCTCTATAGAAATGACGTTATTCAGATAATCCCTTGAAGAAATAGTTCCATAGGGGTTCAACAAAAAAGACAACTACTAGTAAGTAAGATTCGCAGTAAAATGTCTACAAGGGTTGTCTTGTGTCGTTTTCGTGCCGGAGAAAAGTGCGAAGAACTGATTAAAAACGACTAAATTGGAAATATGAGTGACGTCTCCGGGGGAATGAAAGTTCTGAAAAAAGTGCTTCTTCGCCAGATATTCCATTTGAAAGCTAATTAAAACTATCCAGTCAAATCCATTAAAGACTTCAATTACCTGCAAATGACAGGAAACGAAAGTGAAAACAAATCGAATTAAGCTCTAACTTGTTACGGGGTGTTTTTAGCCTGATTATGTGACGAGATAAGTGGTAAATAGCCACAGAACGATTTTTTTTCTTGGTGAAGAAAGAAAAAAGAGGAGAGTCTGAAGAGTCAACATATTGCTTTCTACGTGACGGAAACACGCCCTGTAGTTGCTCGGAACTAAACCGAAAACAGATGGAAAGAAGCTTGATAAGCCAAAGCGTGTTGTGCTGGCGATTGGATAGGTGACTGAGATTTACTCTACTCGACTTACAAGATGACTAGTTGACCAAGACTCGCAATAAGTGAAATGAGGTCTGAGCGTGTGAGGTCGGCGAGTGCGTTCGAGAAATGGCGGCGGCGTCAGCGGCAGCGTTGGCGGTGCCGGCTGCGTTTCGGGCGCCCCCTTCGCGCTAACAAGTATTCGACATGAATTAGATATGGGCATCGCTGGGTATGCCAGAAGAGAGCTCTATTAAGAGCATGGTCGCAAATAAAGGCACACATGATGACGACGACGCGCTGCCCGCACTGCTGCCACCGCTGCCGTCCGCCGTCCCGTCGCGCTCTCCCCTCCTCCCTCGTTCAGTCACTCTCGTAGCGTCCAGCGTCTCCTCGGCTGGCCGGCGCCGTCGGCACCAAAGCACCGATGAGAGAGACATTAGTATGCGAGTTTGACTTTCCGAAATGACGACGATGATGATGATGATGACGATGATGAGATAGTCGTCCGAGGCGAGCCCATCAAACGTTAAATGCGGTTTCCGAGTTGTTGGCATAACAGGGATCAGCGTTCCGAAGTCAGTGAAAACCAGCGCGACCTGTGAAAGTAATCGAAGGAAAAAGAGTTCCGACGACTTTTTCACAGTTCTACATGAGAAGGAAGAAATTGCGGTCGAATAGAACTCAGCCAAGGAATGGAATCTAACGAATGAATGGACGTCATTGACGTTCCTTCTCCTTTCTTTTCTGAATCTTCCGTTGACAGGCATCTTCTTCAAAACACGCTTCTGTACTGCAAAAAAAAACAAGAGGATGCAACTATCCCACCAATCATCTCGCTGTGCGTTAGATTAGACCATCTGCTCACGATGTAGCCTTCAAAATTAAACGACCATTCATGAACATCAACTCAACTATGTTTTGCAGTGAATGAAGGTACCGGAAGAAGTACGAAGTCACTCCATAAGGAAGGCAATCGCGTAGGAGACCTACTTCATGTGAATACAAGAAAGCTGACACTAAAATTCTACAGTAGCAGTACTCAGTACAGTACAGTACAGCTGTACAAAAAAGTTTACATTGTGGAGTTGCGGATGAATGGACCCTTGACCCGATTTCTTGAATTGGTCTCACCTTGAACAATACAAGAACTTTGCATTTCAGAAAGTTCAAATTTGAAACTTCAGCCTATTGAACCTAAGTATCCAAGTGTCAGTACAAAGTATCTAACCAAGACTTTTGAAAACATTTGTCCGACTTTTCCCGACCCCCACATCAGCGCCTGTAGGTACATACTTCTAATTCCAATGTATTCACTAAGAACATGGAAAGGTGGGTGTTTATTAGTTAAGCGATACTAAAAAAAGAAGTAGAGCATCAATTGAGTAATGACATCTTAGGACATTTTCTTGATACAAGTTAAACCTCCTATGTCATTCCGCAGTAAAATATAAGCTAATATGGACAAATGGGAAGGAGGTTGATGGAATATAGCACCTGAGCGTTCAAAGACAATTTTAAGCAACATACAGAAGTGGAACTAGTTTTGTACTATTGCCGCTTATTGGATAAAGAAAAAAATAAAGTTGTAAAAATGTCAATAACAGACGTGCAAATGGTTGACTTGGCGGATCTCAAACAGGTAAGATTTGATTGCTACTGTGAGGCTAGTAATTTCTAACAAGATGGAGTTAGCAAATGAGATATTTATGAGGTTCCACAGTCAAGCTAATCAATTTGGGACCAAAAGAATGCAGCAATTCGAACTTGAAAAAAATCACTGCTCGATCCTTGTTCGCATAACTTCTTCAAAACTTCAACTTCCAATTTCACATGTGAATTGGAAAAGCAGCTCTTAGCGATCCAAAACTGAGTTGTTCCGTGTTTCAGAACAAAAACCTTCTTTCATTCTTCCCGGTTTTTGGCGCAGATGGATCTGCACTCAGGTCAGAGCTGATCACTGTACCCTCGCCTTCAAATGACCAGAAATTGTGCAATTGCAGAAATTGACGTGGCATTAACGTGGCATCGATTCAAGAACATCTTTGAGCACACGTGATGTCACCTTTTCATCGAGAATTTAGCCACGTGTGCCAATGCCACGTCAATTTCTGCAATTGCACAATTTCTGGTCATTTGAAGGCGAGGGTACCTTCCTTCAGGGGAACTTTGAAATGTCGATACCATATCAAGCCAGAAATGGATATCTATCAGTTTCTATTTATAATGATTTCTATAGAATGCCTTCTTGTAAAATTT